TCTTGCGGGAGATTTTCAATCCACCCACCATTTCCCAAAAGGAAACACCGTAATGAGAAATGAAAAAATGCAACTGAGCATAAAATGTCGAGGTTCTTTGTCATATCGATCATAGGGATTTGTTTCACGTAATCGACAGGTGGTATTTAATATCAGGAAGTTATCACACTACCTTTTTTTAGCAGTGCGTGGGTAGATCCAGTTTTGTCAACACGTGGAACAGCGACAATGATGATCATGAGATTCGGATGATGGATAAACATCCTTAACTAGCTACAGCTACGACAGGTAATGTCTGCCCTGGAGCATGCTATATTAAACCACGTCCGTGTATCATGTTTCTGTAATTTTAGTCTCCCATCTTCTCCCATCTAACCATAAGGAAAAACATGAAAGCCTCAACGAAAGAAACGCTTTCATTTATGGACAAGTGGTTCTGAAATAGAATCATTTACTGTTTCCTAAAATCAGTTCTGGTGATCCCTTTCGTGTTACGTCTCATTTATAGATAATGGGATATCAGTAAAACAAAGGAAAATGGTATTGAATTCCGCCAGTATCCAATAAATCCAGCAATTTTGGTTTGGAACCGCTGGCGTCCTGTTTTTGTGCATCAACAAGGAAATTATTCTATTTCTGGTAACAAAAAGACATTTTGTTCATCCAACGACTCTGTTTCCACACATGAGGTCTTTTTGACATCACCTTATTGTTTCAGCCGTTCTTTATCATTATGTTGCCAGTTGCATACATGGGCTGTCATCCTTAACCCAACGTAAATAAGTTGTGTTGTAATATTTCAACCTCTGTAGCAAAAAAGGGCTTACTCAAGATCACTTTCGTGTTCTTGAGCACCAGAGGGACGAAAAGAGTTCTTTATGAAAGAAAGGACAAGGGGAAACAATGAGTCTGAGAAGAGACTAAATGTGATCTATTGGGAACCTATAGGTAGTGATTACGTCTCCGACAGTTCCTGTTATGGCCGGTATCTTCATGTCGTGTTATAGACCGATCACAATGTTCAGCAAAATCCATAACTGTTATTGTGTATACTCAGCAAAATGCGTCCGAAACACGATAATTAGTGAGTGAGTTTAGTTTTACGCCGCACTCAGCAATATTCCAGCTATATGGCGGCGGTATGTAAATAATCGAGTCTGGACCAGACAATCCAGAGATCAACAGCAAGAGAATCGATCTGCGCAATTGGGAACCGATGACATGTGTCAACCAAGTCAGCGAGCCTGACTACCCGATCCCGTTAGTCGCCTCTTACGACAAGCATAGTCGCCTTGTACGGCAAGCATGGGTTGCTGAAGACCTATTCTACCCCGAATCTTCACGGGCCACACGATAATTAAAAGCGAGTAGTTTATAGTGATCACAAAGGATAAAGAAATAGTTCCTATGCATCATCCGCGCTATGCATACCACGAAGCTAACGTCGATGGCAATGTAGCGTCATAAATGACGTTTGTTGAAACGTTGTGTCAGAAGAGTAGTTTCGAAAAGAAAACCAACCTGGATTCCGTGCTGATTCTGATGTCACCTCACAATTACTTCGTCTTAAAAGAGCCTGCACATTTCGAGGTAACATTTTTTCATCGTCAGTATTTCAAGATATTCGAGATGTACACGTTGTGTAATAATAACGTCATATGTTCACGTGTCCTTACTACATGAGACACACAAATGGAATCGGTGGGTTTGGAACAAAGATACAAGCATGTTGTTGTTGTACTTAGCCTTAAATTGAAACTTATTTAAATCTTCTGTCCAGGAATATGTTAATTAGTTATACTCACATATAGTGCACCTGTTAATATTGTTTGGTAAACCGGTTCGATTACGCGGGTGGGTTAGAGAGACGATACCCTGCCACATGTACACCTTTTTTTATATATGCATATATAAATGTGTGTGTTGTTTTACAATAAATGCATTTGACTCTCTGAAAGATAGAGAGATTTATATCACAGACAAAACTTTAGGTGATTATGACGAAAAAACAACAGGCGTTTATTTCAGATGCCAGATAATTTAATCATTGGAAAAATATAGCATATCCAATTTGGACGTCTGTGTTTTCTGTTCCCCTGACTGAGTTGGCAGGCGAGGCTGATTAGCTTCATTTGAAACTCCCACATCCGAAAGCTTCCACGCTTTCCCCAACCGCTACGTCAACAGATACGTCACATTTAAGCTGGCCCGTTATCATGTCCGCCTACACTGATGGATAGCGGCCAGTAGGATGTTGTAGAGAAGCACCTCGGCTTCACTGTAAACCTAGGATTGCGGTATCATTTACCGGTATATACAAGATTCATAGACAATGTTAGTATCGGTGTTAGTCGTACATGTACGTTACGGTATACCTGTGTTACTGTGTATCTATATTACTCTATACGTATATTGTCATATACTTATGTTACGGTATACCCATGCTACGGTGTGTGTGTGTGTGTGTGTGTGTTACCGTATACCGATGTATATATACCATATACCGATGTAACGGTTAACCTATATTACCTTATACCTATATTACCGTATGCCTATATTACCATCTACCTATGTTACGGTCTTCTAATACGATAACCATCATGCTCATTATATTCTGGAAGAGAGCCTGGAAAATATTTTCAATAGAAACCCGACAAGATATGCAGCTTCTTTGAGCTTCTTTGAGATATGCAGTGCCCACTTTTCATGACACTATTTTCTGGCTGCGCTGTTCCCGTACTGCCAACATACCGTGTTCACCTCCCGAGTATTGACGCGGATGCCTTGTGGACAAGCTTTAACGTCTGTATTGGAAATCAAAGAACGATGGACAGTAGCTGTGAACAGGAAGCAGCCAGGGAAAGATTGACAGTATTATTAATCGCTTCCGTCCCCTAAGGATCCTTGTGGTAAATCAAAAATGGTTCCCTGTTCTATTCTAGTGCATGCTGTTGACACACGTATTGTTTGTGAGTGACTGAGATGAATGGTTATGGGCACAACCATTCAGTGCCCACACACGTTTCAGAACTTCGCAGTTGTTCTCGGGGTTCTAACAAAAAAGTTGATTTAATGTTTTGTTATTTACCGAGATGCTGTTCAATTATGGTATGGACAACAAATGTGGAACTTCTACCAGACTGTGTGCAGCCAATTTTGTGTTTGTGTCGTAGTTCTAACAGTATTTAAAACTAACACAACTGTCAATGTATTCTGCAAATCGGGAAAGTAACTTGGTATTGTTATATACTCCACTTGTCCTTCTTGGTCTGACATTAGTACAGCAGAAGGGAATTGAGTCATTGTATTCATACATATCCAATACAATACCGCTATAAGGATTCGAAAAATGTTGTTTTGCAGTTGCATGTGTTACTCAACCAAAACACTTGCAAAGGCAAAGTAATTGTTCATCTGATGAAACACGTGAAACCCTACTGAAAATAGGAAATTACTCGCTGGAACAGGCACAAAATCTTTTCAGAAGTTGTTTTTTTTAAATCGAAAATACCTTACTTTGCACCATGCGCATGATTTGGACAGTAAAACTGTCAAGAAATGGTTGAAATAATGCCGACTCACTCATTCACTCTTTGAACAATAAAGAGCAAGAGAAATTAAAAACAAATTTCATACCCATAACGGATGAGTTTCAGCTTTCCGTTGATGGTTGCTTATAGCCGTTCACAAACAAAATGAAGACAAAGACTGAACTCTGCATTGTCTTTGTCGTGTTATTAGTTCAAAACGTACAAACAATATACCGCCCACCTGTCACCGATATGAACAATTCTACCTTCTCATCAATTTTGAAAGTTAACGGTTGCCTTACCTTGACATTATACATTTCCATGAGGACAAATGGACCTCGACATACCTTGCCCTTTACAAAGCGTTGGTGAAGTATGTCAGAACCAGAGAGAAGAAATGAAAGATACATTTACGTTCAAGGTGACTTTGCTTCAAATCAGTGATCTATTAAAATGACAAGGTGGGATTTTGTCAGTTACCTTCCGCACATTCATTATCTGTCAAATTCTACCTTGAGGTCGCTGACATAATGACAGACGCTGGAGAATCCTGACACGAAACAACATCCCAATTATAACATACTCTCAGGTGACAGCGATCACCAGCAGACAAGTAATGTATAGGTAGGAGACTAGATACCTCCTTTCCTCAACCAGTAAATAGGTAACAGTAGATTGCAGGTGTTGAATGTCTTGCTTCATCCTTCGTTTCTATTGATCCTAATTCTGCGACCTTGCCCTAGAGCTTAAAAATACCCATAAACTCCTTCAACTTGTCTTACTTGTTCACTATGCCTGTGAATGAGAGAAGAAGACAAAGTAAACGGAAGCTTACATGGTTACTATTCACTCATGTGTCATTATCATATGCCAACACATGGTTATATGGAAACATTTTGTCACTGCTAAGCAAATCAGTCACTGATTGTGGCGTGAAACCACAAAACAAAAAAAAAAAAAGGTTCATGGTAATCAGAAATATAAAAATAGTCACCTGTAATAATAAGAATGATTGGTTGGTTGTTTAACGCCGCACTCAACAATATTCTAGCTAAATAAACGCGGTATGTATATAATCGAGTCTGGACCAGACAATCCAGTGATCAACAGCATGAGCATCGATCTACGCAATTGGGATACGATAACAAGTGTTAACCAAATCAGCGAGCCTCTTACGACAAGCATGGGTTGGTGAAGACCATTTCACAGGATGATGATGATGATGATGATGATGATGATGATGATGATGATGATGATGATGATGATGATGATGATGATGATGATGATGATTAATACCCTGGACAATGGATCAGTGTGCACTGGAAATTCATTCTCAGCTCCCTCGCATGTGTATAACCCAAGCAGACTGTGATACCCTTGGGTGAAAAGAGGTATTTTTACGAAAGTCACTTCCTCATTGTGCCTTTGTTTCTAATGACGGCAATGTTTAATTACTGTTATTGTTTTCAGGAAGAACATACATGTACTGCGCTACCACTGGCGGAGGACAATGAAGAGTACATAGGTAAGATCGCATAATGTAAATAACATATAGATTCTGAAACGGATTTCACTTGAGAATACGTTTGTATATGAACTTAGGAACAACCTGTCCTAATGTTCCACACCACGTAATGGAATGCTGAAAGCGCCCACAATCTGATTAAGCATTATTACCCCGGATAGCCGACCAGTCCTTGGTGTGCCCAGCTGCCTGTGAGGCGCAAGAAGGTTAATAGTCACATGACTTATTCCACGGGGTAACCACCCATTTTCAATGCTGGGTGAACAGAGGCAATTTTATTAACAAACTCACTTTAATAGCCTAAGGTGCTGGACAGACATATAAACTCACCTGCCTACTACATGCTTCGCTTCGTGTGGCAGGACTGAAGTGCTAGAAACTCTCAGGAGTAAAGGTGCCAAACACGGTTACCCATCCAAGGACTCTCCGCGCCCAACGTTGCTTAACTTCAATTGTTGAGTGACCTGCGGTCTACGCACAGGGCCACACATCACGACAGTTTATATGTCTTTAAGTATATTTTAATTATTATTTTTTTGTGTTAAAACAGTAACATTTGACCCGAAGGCTGACCCATCCCGCGTCCTTCACCTCAGCGTTCAAGTGTGCGATGGCATTCCAGGTCATGAACTTTTGTGGTAAGGGAAAAGGTCTTTACGTGTTTCATTTATGGGGATAATGCATTTGATCGTGCTCAAAGCGCAGACAATAATGACAGGAGAACGTTTGGAAGCAGTACAATCCTACAAGGGTCGAAATGTGTCACGGGTGCATCACGACAATAGTTTTAAATCTTATTCTAAAGAATCAACTCGAGAATGAAAGCTCATCACAAAGCTATACTTTTAAGGGGTTTTTCTTCGCGCTATGTCATCCTTGCCATATGAGCGTCCATGCTATATGGACGCTTATGTGTTGTGTGATTGATTTATGTACAAATATCCTCGGTTGTCTCCCTTAGGTCATGTGGTGATGGAGTCCCCGGATGTATTGGAAACATCAGGCCAGTGTATGTGTGGGGTATGAACTCCACAACATGGCGACTACCACCAGGTACGTTTAAAAGTAACAAAGATTGGTTCTACTTGAGGTCCAAAATATTTTAAATACTTTTGACCTAGAAACGCAAGTAAATGTGACATACTGAATCACTTGATCTGACTGTGATGACCATTGCTCGTAATACTGTCCACTGGATTATCTGCTCACGACTCCATTATTATATAAAGGCCGAAATAGTATTGCAGGAGTTCTGCTGGATTTTGTCCAACCAACTCATTTTCCTGTAAATTGGTAGATGGGTGCGCAGGATATGTTTACGTTTCAAGATTACTGTAAGTACTGATGTTTCGATATTACACGTAAGTACTGGCGTTTTGCGTTTATACTTAAATACTGACCCTTTGATATTGCACGTTAGTACCAACATTTTCAGGTTACACGTAAGTACTGACGCTTTGGGCTTATAAATAAATACAACCGTTTTGAGTTAATATGTAAGTACTGATGCTTCGTGTTCATACGTAAGTACGTCCGTTTTTGGGTAAGTACTGACGATTTAGGTTTATGCGTATATACAGGCGTTTTGAGTTTTCATGTAAGTACTGACCTTTTAATATCACAAGTTAGTACTAACGTTTTGGGTTTTTATATAAGTACAGGCGTTTTAGATTGATGCGTACAGGCGGTTTAAGTTTATACGTAAGTACTGACGATTTGGGTTTATAGTGACACACTGTCTGGCGTTTTGAGTTAATACGTAAGTACCCACTCTTTGGGTTTACACGTAAGTACTGAAATGAGTACCTATCTAAATGATAGGTTCAAGTTCGGTTAGCACCAGCAAGAAAGCCAATATTATCGCTATTTAATGCGGGAATTCGGGTTGCTTTGACTTGTTTGACCCAGAATATCTACCAGTCCAAAGCCAATGTCGAATGAACCGTAAGCCCACGCACCCACTATGACGTCACTTGACAACAGAACTGATAGTGGCCCGTCGTTAAGGTTGAGCGGTCCAATATCATTTGCAGCGGCCCGCAAATTACTGATAATGGGAGGGCCGTTTCATGATAATTCCATGTATTTTAGCTATAAATGTAAGAGAACATGCCAAGACGATCCGGAATCGTGTGCAGATGTGGCAGATGTGTGCACGGCATCCACATCATTGGCATCAGACGCGTCAGTGATGTGGGGAACGTATGGAATAATGGACGTTGACGTACAGTTTGGGTCGATTTGAGGACGGGTACGGAATGGTGTGGCCGACTGCGTTCCGTGTTGTCCCTGGCAGAATCACGAGTCGATGTTACGGGGACAGTATCATTGCATCACTCGCTGTGTCACTTGCACAAGGGTTCCCCTTTCAAGGTGATAACACACTTTACATCGTACTGTACCAGGATTGTAATATCCATGGCATGCCGTGGCTATCGCGTACACACATCTCACCTGAAATCGGAGATGTTATTAGCAGTCGTATCCTTCAAAATCCACCCACCTGATTTAATAAACTTGGGAGCTGCTCTCACTTGTTCTCACTCTCACTGGTCTCCCGGGTTCGATTCTCCAAGTGGGTAAAATGTGTGAAGCACATTTCTGGCGTCACCCGCTGTGATATTGATGGAATGTTGCTAAGATCGGCGTAAAACCTAACTCACTCACTGACGAGAGGAAGAACACGAGTCTAGCATGCCTCGGGGGATTTGAGCTATCCTGGCCAACTCGGGTGGCTTTATGCCACAGCGCTGTCAGCAACGTCAATTTTGACCTAGTGCGCATCCATTTAATCTCAGCAACCACTAGATATGATCGCCTACGCACCTGCAGACATGATACTATCATTTCACTTTGCCCATACCATTTGGATTAGAAGATAGGGCTTGGTGATTACCACTATCCATTACTTTTTCATGACCCCGTTTCTAAGTTGGAGTTTTTCTTTTCCTCTTCAGACACGGCTATTCCTGTGGGCGGCGCTTCTGGTGGGCGCTTTATCGTGCTCCAGGCTCATATACACAACCCACATCATACAAGTATGTACCATACACAGCGATGACAATAGCTGAAGCATATGGCTCATAAAAATATTCATTGCATTTTCAAGTGTGTTATTCTTAAAATTATAATGCTTAGGTGTATTGTTGGATGTATGCTATTACAAATATTAACATAACATAAATGGCTTCAGATATTTGTGCCTGCATGTACGTTTGATGGTTCCAAAATACGTTGTATATATGCGTGGTCGGTATTCTACCTCAATAGATAATCTAGAATTTGGTGTATGTGTTCGTGGACAAAAGCAGCATGACAACGCCTGAAGCTCAGTTGTGCAAAGATATTTTCCATCACTGGTATGTCGTTTAACTGATTTCTGACTTACCTGGATAACCATATTAAGTTGCCATCCCGTGAGAACTACTGTTATTTTTTTTTTCCTATCCTAATAAGCACTATGTATGTATTACAGGTAGAACGATGTCGTCTCACCCACCGTACGCTGAGGTCAAACTCCATGTCTCCACTCGCAGGTAAAGCGTCTATATGTGATTTAACTAATATGATGTTGATTCCTACTTTTTGAGCCTCTGATAGACGGAACTCAATAATAGTGAAGTCTTTTTTCTTAAAATGGCATTGTGTAATCCTAACTCTTTTGTTGTTGATATTGCATGCTATCATGAGGGTATATGCAGAAAATATAAATGATATAAGCAAAGGTCTGCAGTCTTTGTAAAATGTGAGGTGAGGTGAGGTGAAATTGGGTTTAACGTCGTGCTTGAGAATATTTCGCTCATATGACGACGTGCATGCGTGTGTATGTGTATGTGTGGCTGCTTGTACTAGCCCAGACTTAAGCTGGTTTTATAGTGCTAACCCACTGAGATACCATGCCGCAGTGAAGCATGAATACCCCACTCAGACACATTATACTGACTCCGAGCCGACCAGTCCTTGTTGTACCCATTAATGCCGAGCGCCAGACAGGGACCAACAAGTACCATATTTTAACGTCTTTTGGTATGACGCGGTCGGGGATCGAACCCGCGACCTTCCGCTCTCCGGGCGGACGCTCTAACCACTACACCACGGAGGCGGTCCTTTGTAAAATGTACCATTAGGAGGCCTCCCATGAATATATGAGTACAACACTAGAGAAAGATGTCCCTCCCTATGCTACCGTAACGTTGTGGAGAGCAGAGTGCCAATGAATGCATTGAGGACACTCCGCGCCCTTGAGGTACTGTGAAGTCCGAAACACCGAAAAAGATCAAGAGATTCCCAATCATGGAAATGACCAACCGGCAAATGACAGCGTCATGTCGCTGGTTCAGTGGACATATTCCATGAGAGGGTACATTCCATGGTCACAGAAACATGCGCAATGATAGCAACTCCCTACCATGCATATGGCTCCAATCCAAGACCGCGAACCGTGAAGAACGCTTAAGTCGGAAGCCAACAGAAACTCGAACAATCGTGTTAGAGCAGCTATGGAGTACATTAGGACTACCAAGATGAGGACGAAACTGGCACACAGTCTTTCCAACACAGTTGGCAAAGCGTATCTATGTGGAAAGGGATTATGTTCAAATGTTATTGTTTTTGGTTTATGCACTTCTCTTTGAAAGTGGGCGGTGGGGTAGCCTAGTGGTTAAAGCGTTGGCTTGTCACGTCGAAGACCCGTGTTCGAATCCCCACATGGGTACAATGTGTGAAGCCCATTTCTGGTGTCCCCCGCCGTGATGTTGCTGGAATATTGCTAAAAGCGGCGTAAAACCAAACTCAGTCAGTCAGTCAGTCTCTTTGAAAGTCAAGCCCCTCGTCCAAATATTTTGCACAGTGTTGTGAGCACTGTTGGTTATAAGAAAAAAACATGAACGTTCGAAGTATTATTTCTATGTCATGTTTTATTTACTTTCAGGCCTCGCTTCGAAGTTGGTCTGATGATTTTGGGTAACACTGGCTTCATCCCTCCACAGCAAACGAGTGAGTTGTTCACACGTATCTTCTTGAAAGGGAAATCCCTTTAATCCAGAAACTGCAATATGGACACTGCTTATGCGGATCTATACAAAGGGATGTTTCCTCCATGTCGATAACTTGTTAGTCAGGAAGGTTGTTGATCGGAACGATTTCATTCTCCGCTGTTCCATTTTACCGGTTTCTCTGCAATAGTTCATATGTATACCATTTACTTGTGTAGTCATCACAGTTGTTGCTAAAACTATGCTCTCGAATTTATAGCTGGTATACATTTACTCAAATATTTCAGGTTTTGTTTCTGAGAGCGCATGCCCATGGAATTCTGTCCAATCAGCGTTTGTCCTCGGCTACCGTCTCCATACCCATAGGTTAGGTGAGTACCATACTGTAACAAATCATCATCATCATCATCACCATCACAATCATCTGCTTAAAGTTGAACATATACATTTGCAAACATATTCATTTCTCTCCAAGTAGAATATGTATGTAGTCTTAAAAACCACAAACTCATGGCAAACGTGTACACACGTTTACTCTCATACATACGCGCGCACGTACATAGCTATAAAAGTTTAATTATCTTTAACACGAAGTTTCACCCAATGTTACATTACTCCGCCTCACCTCACCACCATCGGTATGTATGATAGAGATTATTAAGGAATAGTGTCCTTGAATGACGATCAAACTGCATCAAATTCCAGGCCGCTGGATAGAAGGTTTCGCAGTTTCTGAAGACGGTTGGAAACTTATTGGTGAGGGAACACCACTATCACCAGAGGTAAGCTACGTTTGGGATGATGTCCCGTGGAGACAATGTGTGGTTGATGGTTGTATTTGAGGAAAAAAAACGAAAGCGTAAACATATATGAATATATTTGTGAGTGAGTGGTTTTTGCCATTTCCATCAGTATCACGGCGAGGGGCGCCAGAAATGGGCTTCACACATTGTACCTATATGGGGGATCGAACCCGGGTCTTCGCCGTGGAGAGCAAACGCTTGGACCAAAAGGCGATCCCTCCGCCCCTTAAACATAGCTATTCATGTGATCGTTAATATTAGAATTATCATTTATAATATTCATCTGCCAGATATATTTACTGATGGTATTTTTTATGGTCTTTTATTTCAGAATGTCCATCGTAGTTTTACGAAACAACTTTTAAGGAATGGAGACTTTTTGGTAAGTCATAATTCTTATACTGTGTATGTCTACCTTTACACTGAAAGGGCAAAGGGTTGGGACTCTTTTGTGTAAAAAAATAAAAGTCAAATATAACATTTGCCAAAAATGATTGACATGACTGACTACGACCTTCTCTAATATCTGCACCACATAAACTTCTGATATGAAGAACAGAGAGGCTCAAATGAGAGAATGGTTTGTTTGTCTAACCACCAGTTTGTCTGACTTCCAGCTAACCAATGGGAAATCGCTGACACAGCTGATTTGTTACCATATATTGTATGTTCTGTCTTCAGCTAAATCTCCTAAGAAAATCATCTTGCAACGAAAATTAATATGGAAATATTACAAAATTTGCTTCCTTAAATCCTCTAAAGTCTGTCCTTTCAATACATTGTTGCATTACTTGTGCATATAGCGTAAAATCAAACGCAGTACTCTTGTTATTCCAAATCCAACATTCCAAATAGCTGAAATTGACGTTTTATCGGGGTTTTATAAAATAGCAATAATCTGATATCCTTGGTTTGATGACATTAGCAGATCCTTGTTCAAAACAGTACTCCAGTATGTTACCAATGCTATCTATTTCAGGCTTCGAGATGCTACTATGAAAATCTTCAATCAAAGCCGGTGAACTTTGGGTAGGTGTTTGCAAGTTAGGTACTTGATGCAATATACGTGTAACTTCACTGCATCAAAGTTCCACAATTCACTCTGCAGAGCAGCATCCCTGAGTTGGTTCAGTTAAGATCCAGTTCGAATCCAGTGTTTGGTTTGTCAGCACCATCATTTCATACGTTTAGAACCTGTTACTTTAAGCTGCCATTTGTACTATAGCTGAATCAATGTTTACATTCGCGTTAAGCAATCTCATTGACATATAACACAATGCCATTTTAGAAAGTGGTCAAATGTAACATATGTTATATTTGGGATTACACTTTCTTAGTAAAGTACAGATTCTAGTACTTTTGGGTTGAGTCCCATCCGGGATTCGAACCCACACCCTCAGAATCAGGCACCTAATCGCCAGCACACAAAGTCAGACGCCTAGTTCGCTCAGCCACCGCGGCTTCCACTAAAATGGAAGTCGGACAACTGGTAGTCTAGGCTGCGGATTTTGTGTACCCCTCTGATAAGTGTTAATTGGCACGGCTCCCACGGCAGAAAGCTATGAAATACACAATGCCATTTTAGATTATGAAGTGTCCGCTACTGTATATAGAAATACCCCAATGAATAACAATCGTGATCTAGTTCAACAATCATGTGTACAATCTATTTTCAGATCTGAATTTCATGATGAAATGTGCAATTTCCACCTGCTGTACGTTTTCCCATATGGCTCTGCTCCAAACCTACGTTTCCGAACATGCGCACAAGACGCCCAGGCTTTTCATCTAAAAGATGCATTTTTCGCTGTTCCTGAAGTTAAAAAGTTTGTGGGGGAAAAATCGGATACCCAATTTGGATATTGACAATATGTGTGACTCAAGATGAGTAAAAACGTTATTTATCAGAAATAAGAACCACAATGAGATGACAAGTTTGATTATAGCCGTATGTGTATACTATACCTAGATCTGGGAAACTGACACATGCCATGTCTGACTGACCGAAGCTATCGACATCCTGAATATTTGAAGGTCGGAAAATGTCGTTATAAAACCGTTTCATCAAATCTGCTGTCTAAGGACTGAATATCAATATTTCAACTCAAATTCATATCTTACAGACAAATGTAATCATTATATGTAATTTGGAATAAAAATTCACATTTTGCAAAAGATATTCTTGCATCCCCATTATCCTACAGATCTCATGGGCGCGACTAAATGAAAGTCAGACTGATACAATGTTTGTGTCAGGTTTTACTAGCATGTAGTAAGTTCCCATGGGGTTATCCGAGGCATGGCGAGAGTGCAGCGTCAGGCAACACATATACATACTCAGAGGGAATCATCTTTGTTACATGGAATGTTTTCATAGGTAATGATGTGTGTGGGCTTTTGGATTTGAACCAGAGAAAGGGTGTGATAAAATGGTCAAGGAAACACAACCAAGCACCTTGTGTTCGGAATTTGCAAGAAGCGTGACATGAAGCGTGACCAGTAGTGTCCAAGACCAGACAACCAGACGCTTATCACTTCCACTCAGTGCAGTCTTGAGAAGTCAGAAACATTGTATAGTTCTGGATCATGTTCGGTATTGGAAGATTATAGATAGAGGGCTATCGGTGTGCTTCAGTCTGGTACCTCGCAGCGTGACGTTGCTCGTCGATTCAACGTGCACAGAAACAACATTTGGCACTTATGGCGAAACATTTGTCTTTCCATCTGACAACATTGCATTGGCGGCAGGAAAACTTTAACACTTTTTCTGTTTGTTGTTTGTCTGTCAAAACAACCTCTAATGCAAAGAGGAACGTACATATACTCACATGGTGGTCGTTCCAAATAGCCCAGCTGAAGGCCGAGGACTAACAAATAAAAAATATATATTCCTCGGCCTTCAGCTGGGCTATTTGGAACAACCACCATGTGAGTATGTGTACATGTACGTTCCACCATAGTATTTATATAAATAAACTTTCTTCTAAAGGTTTGACAGCCGCCATCACTCTGATTGAAACCATGCAGGGGAACTTGGACACATATCGCCTTCATTGCAGATAGTGTAAGATATAGATATATTTTCCATTGAATTAGGAAAATAGCATGTGCACTAGAGCAAATAGTGTCTGAGACCCATTGTATTGTCATAGCTAAAGAATGTTGACGTCTTTCGTCAAGTGAATGTTTGTAAGATCTCGGTCTTGTTCAATGCATATTTCCAAAGGAGAGACAAACTGATTAAGATATAGTGAATAATAACGACATTATAGCACTTGCTTGAGTGTCATACTGATGTTACCAGACAAGCGTCAGCATTCTTGCATTTTCCAAGTCAGAGCGAGTTTTATTAAATCAGTATGAGACGCATCCTCGTTAAGTAATCTCCATTTTTATCCATGGAAGTCTATTTGAAACAGACTTTACTAGATACATAAAGCCGTACGTTGCTTCTGTTGATAGATCTGGATATAACAAACTGAGGTAAAGTATTGTTAAAATGTTCTGATTTAAAGGGATTACTGATTCATTAGAGCGCGTTGTCTATATTGAATGCACACGTGCTTTTCTACAGCTGCAACAATCATAGTTAGCAACCGGTGCTAAAAGACTCCTAAAACCAAGGCTCCTAACTCGAAAACCAAATTGGCAAATGACACGATCTGATGTGGATTGGACTAGCAACAAGACTCATTTGAAACACAGTTTTAGATAGAGACAGCATCAGATTTGTTTATCGACATAATTGTAGCATATATTAATATTAAGTATAGACATTCATCATCAATGAAACGCGCACATATACTTGAAAGTGAGAAACATTCAAGCAGTATGTCTCGGCTGGGTAATATTCGAATCAGGGCCAAAGATCCCGATGATTGGCATAGAGCGCTACGATTTACACGTCTGTATATGTCTACACTATAACAACCAAATCACCGGGGATGATCCTCCGATCAATTGAGTCAATTCTACAACGAGCATAGGTTACTGCTAACCTACAATTCTAATATGACACCCCATTGGCGGTACACTCATACCGGTATATTTCAAGTATATCACTACTATACAAAATATTCCGATATGGTTATGTATATGAAATACAAATGGACAGTAACGCATCATTTGTTAAATCGGTATATTTCTTAAATTCTCTATTGAGGCAAATCGTTACAAAGCAAAATATTTTTGAATAATTGTTTGTCCAAGATCACGATAGGACGGTCAGAGTACCCAGACCGTAGTGTTTAGCCTGGTACATTAACTGCATGAAGTTAATTAAGGGCATTTAGATGTTGTACGGACATGAATACGTGACACGTTCTATGGATGACAACTTATACTTCTTTATTCTTTATACGACGTTTCAGGGCGAATTCTTGCGCCTTCATCACGTGTATATTTGCTGTATGAGGACCTTGACTTTGAGTCTTGTGTTTGCCTGATGTAGTACTTTAGTTATGGCGCTGTTGCATAGTTGGAATGAGTCAGTGAGTTGTTATTTAACGTCACATCGGCAATATTTCAGCCATATCGTGACGATGCATAGTTGGACAGGTGACTTCAAACGTAGGCCTTTTGGTATTATCTTGTTATCTCTGCAGCGTAGCAGACAGGTGATTTATCTCCTTATCGCCTCATCTCCATGTTGATGCCTAATGAAGTTCTTGAAAGGCATTGGACGAACATGAACATACGTTTTATGGATAACATTTACCTGACGAAGGCGCAAGAATTAGGTCTGAAACGTCGTATAAAGAATAAAAGGAGTTGTTATCCATAAAACGTGTCATGTATTCAAGAACTGTAAAACTGACAAAAGTAAATACAGCTTTTTCAGGTTGACCTGAGCTACTCTACGTATGCATGACCCCGGAGGTCAAATGGCACAATCGGCAGGTCGAGTTAACTTCATTAAATAGGGGAGCAGAGAATGTTATTAGTGTTGCTGGTCGCTGCTTAAAAGCCCGAATCGGAAACATTAAACCGTATGTAGCTTCTTTTTTAAGCTTAAAGAAAGTTAGGACATTGCTGACGATTCTCGACACTGAGATGTCAAACGACGACCTTGTCTCGGCTGTACGGACCTGTTTACAGTCAACTGACAAAGGTGCACCCCTTCACAATAATAGACCCAACCAGCTGTGACACGGTCACGTAATGCATTAGTAATCACTTGATCAGGTGAGCTGAACAAGCTGTAGTAACGTTTTCCGTTTACTAAAGCAACTACCCACGCGGACATGGCATCAACGTTAGGGGATGATGTTCCTCCGTTTGCCAGTGTTAGATGAGTTCAACAGGGTATGATTAACTTCAAATATGATCCATGATCATAGATTACACAGACCTGTAACTGTCATCGCTAATATGGTTAGTGATGAACAATGACTCGCCACTATTCACATAGACAATACGGAAGGCACATCTCGAAGAGATTTAAGACCATCACATTGAATCAAATAGAAATGACAAAGGTTTCAGCACGCATTGTTTCGAGGCTCCTGGAAAGGTCAAGGTTCATCATATAACGTGGGAATTTACGTCTGTTTAAAACGCACCCAGCTGATGCTACGTGCAAAAGGGATGTTCCTCCAGTTCACCACTATCAACTAAACACTCAAAACGGTGGAATCTAACAGATTATCATAGAAATATGCGTAAAGGTGTGTACGAGCTTTCCTGTTCTCCAGATTAGGCACCGTCGAATTTCCAATTCCAACCAAACAAGAGAGAACTGTATGAGGCCATTTCTGTTCATGGAGGATTTTTTACACCACCTGCAAGATGTCTTTTACAAGAGTGGGATCCAGTCGGATCCAAGAGAGATTGGGAGTAATGATGACAAACACAACCAACTCTTATGAACGCATTGCATCACATTGAGGTGAGGTGAAATTGGGTTTAACGTCGTACTTGAGAATATTTCGCTCATATGACGACGCGCATGCGTGTGTATGTGTATGTGCGGCTGCTTGTACTAGCCCAGACTGAAGCTGGTTTTATAGTGCTAACCCACTGAGATACCATGCCGCAGTCAAGCATGAATACCCCACTCAGACACATTATACTGACTCCGAGCCGACCAGTCGTTGTTGTACCCATTTATGCCGAGCGTCAGGCAGGGACCAACAAGTACCATATTTTAACGTGTTTTGGTATGACGCGGTCTGGAATCGAACCCGCGACCTTCCGCTCTCGGGGCGGACGCTCTAACCACTACACCACGGAGGCGGTCTGCATCACATTGAGGCTCATAACATGAACATAACCTCGGTGAGGAACGTTTGACGTTTTCTCATATGTAAACGTTGTATTTGGTATGATCAAGCAGTTTTTGTTGTTATTTTTGTCTCGAAAGTAAAACACACCCACTGAAAATGCATAGTTAAAAGGATACTGATATAATAGCAGCTACAAAGTCGCGGAACCATGTATCTGTAGTCAATGTGCTGATTGACGAGACTGGAACTCCAGTGGTCAACGTAGCGATTAGCCATCAAGCCGAAGAAAATTAATGGGTTCGATTCTCAACCTCGGGTGTCGAACCTAGTCTTCATAGATACATCTTCTGTGTGTCTGTGTCGAATGGTTTATAATCAGAACAAAGTAATACAAATCGTTACAAATGTATTACAATGCCAGTACGAATTAATGGACAATATAATACAAAAGCAGTGAATAATAAAAACAATGATGTATCATGTTAATCTTCAACGAAAACATTATGATGATCGAAAACGACGATACGAAATGCCAGCTGTCACAAGATGCTTCTCCTTGCTCCACTTGACCTCCTGTGTTCACAGAAATCAATCTATAGAGATAATGCTGTCGCATACTCAGTGAAAAAGTATGTTTGTGCAATGCTCTTGGCAGACTTTGACAGTTTAATTGCACGTGTGGCACTCGTCCAAACATGCCTGTGTTGTCACGTGTTTAAGGTAAAAGTTGCGATAAACAGCACGTTTGAAGCTGCAGTTGTCAAAACATATAATCGAGCCGTTGCCACAATGAGCTCATTGTCTCATTAGGTATGGTATTCGGTGTAGCGCAAATTTAAAGTGCAGCGATAGTGTCGTTGAGTATAGGTTGATCTGGTACAGCTTGTAAATATTGTGTGTAGCTATAGCGTGAAGATATTGTGTGTAGCCATAGCAAGACGATAGTGTGAGGTGAGGTGAGGTGAAATTGGGTTTAACGTCGTGCTCGAGAATATTTCGCTCATATGACGAAGTGCATGCGTGTGTATGTGTATGTGCGGCTGCTTAGAAGATAGTGTGTGTGTCCATAGAAAGAAGATAGTGTGTGTGTCCATAGCAAGAAGATAGTGTGTGTGTGTGTGTGTGTCCATAGCAAGAAGATAGTGTCTGTGGCCATAGCATGAAGATAGTGTGTGTAGCCATAGCATGAAGATAGAGTGTAGCCCGGATCTTCACAGGTCGGGTAATCGTTTAGGTAAAGTGGACAGGTATAGCCTGAAAGTGTAGTGTTAGGGTATAGTGCGTCAATATAGTGTGAGTTGATACAGTGTGTAGGTATAATGTGTGAGTAAAGGTGTGTATTTATACGTACAGTGTGTAGATACAGTGTGTTGATACATTGTGTAGATAATTAGTTGGTCCATTGTGTCTGTAGTGTTTTTGTGGTGTGTAGGTACCAATGTGTAGGTACAGCATGTACGTATATAGACTGTAGGAATGTGTATTAGTATCTTGTGTAGGTGTGGTTTGTAGGTACAGTACGGAGGTACAGTCTGTACCTACAATGTTCACAGAGAGTGTGTACATGCAGGGAGGGTGTGTAGATACATTGTGTATTGTATAGGGTGTAGATACAGCGTGTAGGTACTGTTTGTAGGTAAAGTGTCTCGATATCTTGTGTTGAATGAACATACAGATATTGTGTGTAGGCACTGCGTGTAAACAGTGTAGGCATGCTGTGTATGTATAGTGCTTAGGTATAGTTTTCCACAGTGTACTAACTGTAGTGTGTACATGTATAGTGTGAAGCCATATCACGCAGACAGTGGTATAGTTTATTGGTTCAGTCTGTAGGTAATGTCCTCAGATACAGAGAGTGGACATAGTGCCAAAGACCCGGGTTCGATTCCTCTCATGGGTACAATGTGTGAAGCCCTTTTCTGGTGTCCCCCGCCGTGATATTTTCGGAATATTGCTAAAAGCGGCGTAAAACTAATCTCACTCACTCACTACAATGTTACCTCATAAACATTATGCTATCCTTTGACAACGCCATACAATAAATAGTATCGATTATCCGTCGAAACGTTCATACGAGGTGAGGTGAGGTGAAATTGGGTTTAACGTCGTGCTTGAGAATATTGCGCTCATATGACGACGTGCATGCATGTGTATGTGTGGCTGCTTGTACTAGCCCAGACTTAAGCTGGTTTTATAGTGCTAGCCCACTGAGATACCATGCCGCAGTGAAGCATAAATACCCCACTCAGACACATTATACTGACTCCGAGCCGACCAGTCCTTGTTGTACCCATTAATGCCGAGCGGCAGGCAGGGACCAACAAGTACCATATTTTAACGTCTTTTGGCATGACGCGGCCGGGGATCGAACCCGCGACCTTCCGCTCTCCGGGCGGACGCTCTAACCACACTACACCACGGAGGCGGTCTTTGAGGCTCAGCACATGAACCATAACCTCGGTGAGGAACGTTTGAGGTTTTCTCATATGTAAACGTTGTATTTTGTAGGATCAAGCAGCTTTTGTTGTTATTTTGTCTCGATAGTAAAACACACCCACCGAAAATGCATGGTTAAAAGGATAACTGATATAATAGCAGCTACAAAGTCGCGGAACCATGTATCTGTAGTCAATGTGCTGATTGACGAGACTGGAACTCCAGGTGGTCAACGTAGCGATTAGCCATCAAGCCGAAAGAAAATTAACGGGTTCGATTCTCAACCTCGGGTGTCGAACCCTGAGTCTTCATAGATACATCTTCTGTGTGTCTGTGTCGAATGATTTATAATAATCAGAACAAAGTAATACAAATCGTTACAAATGTATAACAGTGACAGCAATGAATTAATGGACAATATAATACAAAAAGCAGTGAATAATAAAACAATGATGATGTATCATGTTAATCTTCAACAGAACTACATTATGATGTCGAAAACGACGATACGAAGAATGCCAGCTGTCACAAAATGCTTCTCCTTGCTCCACTTGACGACCTCTGTGTTCACAGAAATAAATCTATAGAGATAATGCTGTCGCATACTCAGTGAAAAAGTATGTTTGTGCAATGCTCTTGGCAGACTTTGACAGTTTAATTGCACGTGTGGCACTCGTCCAAACATGTCTGTGTTGTGACGTGTATAAGGTAAAGGTTGCGATAAACAGCACGTTTGAAGCTGCAGTTGTCAAAACATATAATCGAGCCGTTGCCACAATGAGCTCATTGTCTCATTAGGTATGGTATTCGGGGAAGGTATAGCGCAAAATTAAAGTGCAACGATAGTGTGGTTGAGTATAGGTTGATCTGGTACAGCTTGTAAATATTGTGTGTAGCTATAGCGTGAATATATTGTGTGTAGCCATAGCAAGAAGATAGTGTGTAGCCATAGCAAGAAGATAGTGTGTGTGGCCATAGCATGAAGATACAGTGTTGCCCGGATCTTCACACGTCGGGTAATCGTTTGGGTAAAGTGGACATGTATAGCCTGAAAGTGAAGTGTTTGGGTATAGTGCGTCAATATAGTGTGAGTTGATACAGTGTGTAGGTATAATGTGTGAGTAAAGGTGTGTATTTATACGTACAGTGTGTAGATACAGTGTGTTGATACATTGTGTAGATAATTAGTTGGTCCATTGTGTCTGTAGTGTTTTTGTGGTGTGTAGGTACCAATGTGTAGGTACAGCATGTACGTATATAGATTGTAGGAATGTGTATTAGTATCTTGTGTAGGTGTGGTTTGTAGGTACAGTACGGTACAGTCTGTACCTACAATGTTCACAGAGAGTGTGTACATGCAGGGAGGGTGTGTAGATACATTGTGTATTGTATAGGGTGTAGATACAGCGTGTAGGTACTGTTTGTAGGTAAAGTGTCTCGATACCTTGTGTTGAATGAACATACAGATATGTAGGCACTGCGTGTAAACAGTGTGTAGGCATGCTGTGTATGTATAGTGTTTAGGGATAGTTTTCCACAGTGTACTAACTGTGGTGTGTACATGTATAGTGTGAAGCCATATCACGCAGACAGTGGTATAGTTTATTGGTTCAGTCTGTAGGTAATGTCCTCAGATACAGAGAGTGGATATAGTGGGCTCGTAGGTATAGTGTTTATATATAAATATGCAAATGTGTGTGTGTGTGTGTGAAGTGTGTACTAATGATGTGTATGCATTGTGTATAGTTATTATGTATAAATAAACTGACGTTCAAAAGAAAGTACACACTTCTCACATTTCTATAAAACAGCATTAATATTTAAAAAGTGTTTGAATCTGCCTTGTCACAAACATTGTGCAAGTGTTTCCAAAGCACCACAGATATTGTACCCAATAACAACACTGCTAGTAACATAATTATGGTTTTAATGGGAATAGTCCCAAAACACCAAGTGTGTACTTTCTTATGTTCGTCAGTATATACGCATTCAGGCAACAACAACAAATATGTATCTACCACAGTGAATCAGCAGTTCACAAATATTCTCACACGGTAGATAGTTGGCGTTTCATTAGACATATCAAGCTGGTGACAAGATTTATATGAGTTTGTGTTTCAAGTGCAGATATATACTGGACAAAATAAGTTAGGGATATTGATATTTTTATGATTGTTATTTTATCGGTGTGTCAATGAATAAAATGGATCATTATTCATAATTTCAAAATTTACATACATCCCTAACTATTTTTGTCCAGTATGTATAGAAAATTATTGACAGGGCGTAAACAAATGAACAGGGCGGAACGTAATGCGCTGAGTCAGGAACAGCTTATTATGGCGCTGGGAACCAGACATTGTGTCTGTTTTATAGTAGTCATATTCATGTTCAAGTGGTGAGTGGCAGGTTCTGTTCCGAGCGACACGGCCTCCTCACATAAATCAGACTGTTGTTTATTGCTGGTCGAGGAAAACCCGGAAGTAATGTGTCATCTTGTCTTAAGGTCGGTGACAAAGATAATGTGGGTGCACACTGGGAAGTAGCCACGGTGTAATGTCGCGTTAAACAACATGGCAGTAAATCTAAACTTCCTTGGTGGGGTCGGGTAGGTTTCGGGGTGTAAGCCTCAAATAATGTAGGTCGTAGACACTTACTGGGTCCGAACCCATTAGCAAAGATGTGCTTCCAATAATATTGGGATCGTAGTGGAAGCGATTCTGAGATTCGAACCCGTAAACAATCGGTTCCTGGTGTGACTAATGGCATACATGTGTACAGCGAGTTGCGATACATCCAGGATACAGACCGGACTCCCATTGATGTGTAGTTCTTTTATGACGCTTCATTTATATAATTTAAAATGAACAGCGTCAACACCAGTCACAACCGTCACTCTGTTTCCTTTACAAATTACACATTAATTATTTTGATCTTTACCCATCGCCTGTAAACATTTGGGTAGATGTGTCCCTTGTGTTTACTTCAGCCATAAAAATGGGCCAACATGAACGTACTTCATCTGTCGGCGCTTTTCTCCTCAGCGGCTTTAAAATCATTTTACTAGCTTGCAAGGGTCGCAGTGGGGGAGCATCCACATTTGTATATTTAAAATTCCTTGACATAGACATGAGAGTTCATAATTGTCAGAAATTACAATGGCTTCTAAATTGAACCTGCCTAATATTTTACCCTATCGGATTTTTTTCATTCTTCCACATGAAAATCTTACGTTTTAAATATGCACTACCCTAAAACAAAGAAATGAAATCAAAGAAGTTATTAGTCATGACATTACATATAGAAACTAGCAAGAACTCATTATTACCCCACACTTGTTAACGTTATACCCTTCCTTCCTTCCTTCCTCCTCAGTAAACGCCCAAGACATTCATCACTCCAGCTTTTCTCTCACAGTCATATCATTAGGCTAACCTTCTTAATACTGAAACTCTTTAAAGAGATGGCGTTAAACTCCATCATCGCCCACTGAAACTATATGATGGTAGTCATACCCCGTATGAACAAAACCTCCTCCGTGGTGTAGTGGTTAGAGCGTCCGCCCGGAGAGCGGAAGGTCGCGGGTTCGATCCCCGGCCGCGTCATGCCAAAAGACGTTAAAATATGGTACTTGTTGGTCCCTGCCTGGCGCTCGGTATTAATGGGTACAACAAGGACTGGTCGGCTCAGAGTCAGTATAATGTGTCTGAGTGGGGTATTTATGCTTCACTGCGGCATGGTATCTCAGTGGGCTAGCACTATAAAACCAGCTTAAGTCTGGGCTAGTACAAGCAGCCACACATACACATGCTTGCACGTCGTCATATGAGCGCAATATTCTCAAGCACGACGTTAAACCCAATTTCACCTCACCTCACCTCGTATGAACAACGTTTCGACGGATAATCGATACTATTTATTGTATGGCGTTGTCAAAGGATAGCATAATGTTTAAGAGGTAACATTGTAGTGAGTGAGTGAGATTAGTTTTTTGCAATATTCCGAAAATATCACGGCGGGGGACACCAGAAAAGGGCTTCACACATTGTACCCATGAGAGGAATCGAACCCGGGTCTTTGGCGTGACGAGCGAACGCTTTAACCACTAGGCTACCGCACCGCCCCGAAAACATTGTAACCTAGCAAGGGGAATAGAGATTATTTACATGTCAGTGTGACACAGAGGTAATGATACTTGAAATAATCTTTTGACATCAAAATGTCGTTACAAATAGTATACAAAAGGAAAAACCAAGATGTCACTGTACTATGAAACACAAATATAATTGTGAAGATGTATATATTATATCATACATTACATTGATAAGCCGACCATATTTTAAACAGAAAATAAACATAAGTAATTTTATGCTTACATAACAAATACAGCAAAGCTTTCCTTTGTGTGTTTTAGATAAAGTGTTTACAAGCAAGCTGCTAAATGAGTTAACTGTTCCGTTATCTTACAGGTTTCTATGGAGCTAATGAATCCATGTAACACGACACTAATGATTATAGCTAGATTTACGCTTTAAATAGACCGAGCAGTGGAAACAAGACCTCTTTATGAGGTGCTGACTGCACCGTGAACTCCCCTAGATTCAGTTTAACCTAAAATAGGATTACTTTACTGAGGTATTCATTAGTACAATATATGAGTCTGCTGGTGTCAGATACGACAAAGAGCTCGTGGTATTAATTCGTCAACAACGCCCGTGCCTCTCCGGTTGGGAGCCATACAACAGAACCAGTGGTGCTTGTAGGAAATCAGCGGGTCTTGATTTACACACGTAGGTCTGGATATCGGATAGCTGAGGTATTATTGAGCTATAGACCCGATCATCAATGCATACTGATACACATGAATGTTCAACAGAACTACGAACCGTGTCGTATAACGGTACATACATATGGATAACGGTATATGACTGAGAGGACGGTGTACTGTGCTGTTATGTTAACATTGCTGGAATAGTAATAATGTGGAAAGAACGCAACAGGGACACGTGAACAATGAAATGACGGAATGACAACGGATTACAATACAGTATCCACAAGGGTAATATATTATTACATATCACGACAGCTCAGTACCTGCTGTAGAGTAATTACAGAGTAAAGTCAATGAAAGACAATTCTAAGTTGGAAAAACACGAACATGTGACACCCTTTCGTGGATAACAGCTTCTTATTCCTTACGACGTTTCTGAGCTACATCTTGCTAATTCATCATTCACCTGTCGTAAAGGAATAAAAGAAGTTGTTGTCCATAACAAGGTGTCGTGTATTCAATTACACAGTACCGGTTAGCTTGTGTTTCGTTAACATTTAACTTAGTGTGTTATGATTTAGGGTTTTCTAACGTACAAACTTTGTACAAAGTTATTTAGTACTCCTATGACATGTAAAGTTAAAGTATTGATTGATTGAAACATATTTTATTCAACTGAGAAACGGATTGGGCACAAGTTATCCAACTTAAATAAGCCCTCTCCACATAGTTACAAGTGTATATTACAAAAAAGTTCAACAAGAGGCAGACAAAGGGTATAGATATGTACAGACAGAGTTATTTAAATTAAAGTTAAAGTATTGTATGGCGGTTTCTACGATGTTTACATGATTACTAAAATGGAGACTAAACTGAAAGATATATATTTGACTGAAAATATGCATATACGATGATGTGGATTTCATGTTTTTTACGGACTAATCGATGTTCAGCGCACTCATTCCGTCACATCTCACCTTACCAATCTAGGTCGTTCTAACTGTTATGCATACGAAATCAGAGTAAAGTTAGAAAACTAGAAACTAGGTATTAACAATCTACGTATTTCTGTCCAGCTGAATATATAGATGCTTTATACATGTTATATTAATACGTATGAGTTTGTGGCCTTCATACGTAATGAAGAGTTGATGATCACATCAAATGCCTTCCACAACAGTTAGACATTTCAAATGGGGAGAAAATTTTACAACCAAACATTTCAACACATATTGTGCAAGGCATGTTTCGAATTTGTAATGTCACACTAGAACAGTTCAAATCTTTAAAAATGTACTTTAATTCGCTTTTTAAAAATCACAATATTACATATGTTACCACGCGTATGACGAGACTCATGACTGGATGTAGTTTGGGTTACACATTTGTAGAATAACTCTAAATAACCATGTCTCTATGCCCTTTTGTCGCACAAAAGCAATCATTTTTAAATAAGCTTATATTGATGACTGGCTATACCTACGTCGTGAAGTGTAACATTCCTACATAACCTACCTCTATAAAACTGTGTCTACATAAGAGCTGCATGATTGAAAAATCAATACTTTATGATATATCGATGCATTTAACTTCCATACCTTAACTGAACACACGAGTGGAGAGCTTGCCTTTCAGCACACAACTGGGAGAATACACGGCCCTGTTGAGTGGTCGTCATTTGGACATGCGTATACATGCTCGTGTTTTGAAATCTTTTCAATTCAGCTATATTACACAAGCAATTTACAAGTGGGTCCATACAACTCCAGGGCCACCTATCGAGGAACGCTCTGTTGTGTGATCTGTGGATCATATCATTGTCAGAGAAAATGAGTCTCAGATATTAAGGTAGATCTGACAATGGAGTTTTATTACAGATCTTCCAATGCCTGTTTTCAGGGTAAGAGAGAAAGTTATGATCAAGAAATGAAGGAAAACTTTCTGATTCCCAGGAAGCGTTTGTACTCTTGTTCAGAGGACGAGGACCGAGGACAGGACAGTGACGCAGACAGTAGTGGCCATGCTGAAGATGCAAATTCTGAAATGGATGAAGGCCAAATTAACAGAGTGTCTCGGATGTTTCTTGAAGAATTTGATCGAAGGTTTCGAGGAAAATCGGAGGACTTTGACTTCGGGGAGTCCAGAGCCCCAAGTGTGAACTCCTCTGACGTGGATAATGACAGTGATAAGCAGGATTATGATGAGGAAGATGGGAAGTGCAAGAAAAAAGGCACTGGATCAAAAACAGCCAGTGGTGAAGGGAAGAAGTTGAGCAAAGAGGCGTGGTTGCTGAGGGAAAGGATGTGGAACGCTGTAGACAGGTTAGCACTTTCTTCTTTCAGTGGCATTTAGAAGCTGGTATGATGAACAGGGACGATTCTTTATGGATAGACAACGTCTTTACTTGCAATGGATGCGACGTTTCGTTAGCCGTTAGCATCTACACCGAAACGTCGCATCCATTGCTAACACCGTTAGCACCGTTAGCATTGCAATGGATGCGACGTTTCGGTGTAGATGCTAACGTCGAATCCATTGGAATAAAGAAGTGCACTTGTACACCTATTGTACATATCAACTGATAGGTTGCATTACCGCTGCAGTGACGTAATGGCGACTGGCTAGCCCAATTGAGTGTGCGTTTAGTTGCCACTAATTGTCCATGTTCGATTTTGGGGTAATGTCATCGCGGCGGCTTGGTGGTCAAGGCATTCCTAGTCTTGCCGTAGATCCGGGTTCGACTGTCCTCAACATGAAAACAAATAGGTCTAACAAAGCACAAAGCTGTAAAAGGTGCATAGATTGATTTCATTGATCATTACCTCCATTGAGCTTCCTTGGATCTTAGCAATAACATATGCATATCAAACCTATAGTCTGTATGTATTTCACAAAAGGCATTATCCTTCAGCTACCTTTGTATATAAAGCATACAAACGGAGCTCTGAGCATGTCATGTATTTTATCATTTCTATTGTTTTAAGTTTAGTGTCTCAAATGTACAAACAGGCAGAACTAAACTCATGGGCAAAATCGAATACACTGAAAAACTGAATTGGACCAAGAAATTACAAAGACCACCCAAACTCCAAAGCATACCAGACTGGAAACATTTGCTGAAACACAGCACGTTTCAGGTCCACAACACAACCCTGATATCCGTGTCAAACACATGACCATCCAGTAACCATTCCTTCCTTGTTTCATTGTGTTAAACACGGGCGTTACAGTCAGGTCTTATATAAGAACATGACGATGTAAGTTTATCTTGACATATACACATATCCTGAAATAGCCCTAGGTACTCAGTGAAGCATGGGTATTGTGTGGGGGACGTTAACCAAAGCACCCTCGATCAAAGGCCTATATGGAGTTAGGGAGCATTTGTACAAGCCCTCTGCAACAGACACCTTTGAGCCGTTAGTTCATGTGCTAAGCGGTTTGGATAAGTGGAATTGTGTATATGATTATAAAGATCTCCTTCGATTAAATCTTTGAAAGGGAAATAGCTAATGCCATGATATGACTTGGTATTTCCCAGCATGCAATGAGACGAGTATTACAGAAGGATCTGGCCACCATTTAAGCAGTCATCAAACCCTAGCATTCACTCGTGTATCAGTTCATATAATATCATATTCACTCAATATATCAGCAACATGACCGAGGCTCCACCTAACCGAGTCTGGGCCAGTCAATGCAGTGATTGTAATTCAAACATGTCATCATAGCGTGTTTTCATCAGGGTCACTGACCTGACCACCCAATCCACATCAGGTACGGTCGCTCGGTACAGACTCGAACCAGGACTCACCAGTGGCTGTTAAGTTGTTAATACTCTGAAGAACAAAATTCCATCAAATTCGAGGGATAAAATAGCAGTTCTCCATCTCAAAATATACCACCTTCGTATTTCCTGTGGGGCCTTCCACACAAGTAAGCTGTTCTTAACATAAGTGAGTGAGTTTAGTTTTATGCCGCTTTTCGCAAAATTCCAGCAATATCAAGGCGGCGGACACCTGTTCTTACATGAACCAGAGGGAGATGGGGTAGCCCCGTGGTTAAAGGCGATATATAAACCCTGGGTTCGATCCCTCGCATCGTTAACTGACTGTTGATGTTCCGTAGCGTTGCAGAACATGGGATTACTCTCCACATTGTAATAACGTTGTATCAAATATTTTGTTTCAGATTTGATTGTTTAATATCTGATTGTTACACGAAGGGTATAAACAAGTTACAAAACTTGTCCTCAACTGCACTGATAACACATGGCGTGATATTATCTATACTACTATCTTTAGGATAAAAAAACCGTCGTTGTATTTAACCACCTATGAGCTATATTGTGTTTGAGGTATTTGTAATATTAAAATGAAGAACTGTTGTAAATCTGAACATAGGGGTGTAAGATTCTCACAAACACACACGTCCTTCTAAATTGCGAATACCGTATTTATCACAAAATATATTAGCGGTATATGAAAAATTAAACAGCGAAAGCGTTAATCGCTATCTAAAATTATTCTGATAGTTGCAAAATACATGACTGCAGAAATGGCGTCACCAATTGTTTAACAACATGAGGAATCATTTATACATCAGCATCACAGTGTTTCACAATGGCGTGGGTTTGGCGGTCTTTCTCACTGAAACTATTTGGACTCACACGGTGAGAAAACGATAGGGTGATATCTAAAAAATTACGCAAGACACGATATTTTATTATACTTGACTAAATATTTTGGGTCATTGAATTGTGATGTTGCAAATTATCCACAGTACAGATACGTGTTTTAATGTACACACGGTATGTGTATGATTTTTTTTATTGGATCGACTGACAAGCTCATTCTCAGTGTTACTTGTTTATGTAGAAATGCTGATCTAACATATATATGATACAAGTTCAGCGTCCATTAACTCTCAGAATTAAACTATATATTGTGATGCACAGAACGTTATAACTGCACGTGTTATTTTAACCTATGCTTGAATGGTAAACAGGTAAACATTTATGTGTAGATTTTTCGTGCAACGAATCGAAAAAAGGAAATATAAATGTTATTTTTAGTGTAGTTTTGAAATTCTCACAAATGTTTGCTACCCTCATTGAGGCTGTCCTTTCTGTCTTCTTGTAGGGACGAGCTATCGCCTTCGGAGACGGAGAGACTGTTGACTGGGTCCTGTACAAGCCTAAATGCTGGGTGGGGACAATACACTGCGTGCATCATGACGAGCGTGCGTGTGCGTGTGCGTGTGCGTGTGCGTGTACGTGAAAAATCATCATGCTCTATTTGTGTTCGTCTTGTTAGCTTATTAGATGCACGCGTATAGTTCGGTGTACTTCTTTTGTTTTCAAATGTTCGAGTCACTTTGCCAGTGTATTGTTAACATTTACAGAGACTACTGTGTAAAATATGTTTATAGGGATCATTTATACACGACTATGTGTAACGTTCATATTCAGAACTTATATATTACAATATGACAATCATGCTCATTTAATAGTAGAAAGAGTGTGCGGGAGTGTGGAACGGGTGAGAGCGAGTGGGGAGAAACAGGTAAGGAAAGAGAGAGTGAAAAATCACAGAGAGAGAGAAGAGAGAGAGAAAGATGAGAGCGAGTGAAAAATCACAGAGAGAGAGAGAGAGAGAGAGAGAGAGAGAGAGAGAGAGAGAGAGAGAGAGAGAGAGAGAGAGAGAGAGCATAGGCGGCTCCAGAGGGGGTGTGCAGGGGCAGGGGTGCGCACCATCACCCACCCCCCTCCTCCTTTGCCCTGTAAGTTCAATATTGACCATTGAAACTCGGATGAAAGTGAAGTGTGCAACCCTCCTTTTCTCAAAAGTGAGATTTTGCTGCATAAATATCAACAAAAACAATGGAGTTTGAATCGGGTATCGTAATATATTCTCCTTAAAGTGTTTAATTGGGAGATGAGCATACTGTGTTGGAAAATCAGGTAGATCTAAAACGAAATTATAATATATGGCGCTAAATTTTATTTAAAACCGAACGAGTAAATTAAATTTAGAGTTGTTATCATGTCGTTATATACCTCTGATTTTTCCACACCGTATGTTTATCCCCTAAATGAAAAAATCGCCCTTACCATTTAGATCATAAAAATAAAATATTCCTATCAAACCGTTTCTTTCTTTTCGGAGATTTTCAATTATTGTCAGGAGTGTTGTGTGATGCCCGTCAAAGCCATTACAAAGAGTTACCTCCCCTACTACACTGAAGGCGGGCGAAATAAAAATAAGACCCGATTTACGACGAGGTCAGGACAGGGCACTCCCTTTGTTTCCGGACATTTTCAACAAATGACGAGTTCATCTGATTCGTTCGCATCAACAGCTGATCAAGAACATGCCATCACATCGTCTTAAAATTTTGAAAGATATTACAAGGTAAGTCAGTTTCCAACAAGAAGAACGTGACGAGTATAATTTTGTGTGACAGAATGGCTTTGATGAATGTTTGAGTTGACATTCATCGAGTCAACCATAAATACTTTGTTTACTTCGTTTATTTCGTTTTATTCATAGAGTGTGTATCGTCGATCCGGCTAAAACAGGTCAAATCTGCAGTATTAATTTCGTGTTTGAAAGAAAAAAAGTATAATTAAACCCTGCATGAAGGATGAACAACTGATCAAGCGTAGATCTGTAGGCTAGTGTAGCAGTATAGACCTATAGGACAATTTAGTCTAAATCATTGTTCATCTTCAGATGATTTTGACATAAGAATATCATTAAAACGTCTCCGAAGTGCACATAAAAGAATTTGAAGCGCCATTTATGAAAAAAATGCCCTTAACTGTACGGTAGAGATGAAGATCAAATCAACAAGTCGATCAATCGACCTCAAGGCAATAGATCTAGCTAGTTTCCAAGAATGTCGGGAAAGTGGTTTGGGGGTGAATAATAGACTGTGATAATAGCTTGTGAGTGGATCAGAATCACAACATCTTGTTTTGTTTACTATTGAGCCAAACAATTAACCAAAGGAAAGGTCGCCTGAGGATGTGAATCATATACCCAGGATATTCGAGACAGTTGCTTGTGCCCAACAGTTTGTCTTTGTCTAAGACTAAGTATAACAGGCTATACTGGCTGTCGAACAGTTATCGCCATATTTTAGCGGTATTTACGAAATTACTCCGTCGTTCGTTAAGTTAAATAATTATAATACTTAATTAGCTATTCACTGATGTGGCCAGCCCGTTCATTGCCGCCGATCATGTTTTTATATAACACAGCAGAAGGGAATTATGGCAGTACAAACAGGTCTTTTCTCACAACCTACTGTAACAGTTATCACCATTTCGGAATTTCTCATGTCATTCGTGAAATAATATTATACTTATATCATGAAGTAACCTGAAATAATTGATGGTGTGACTAGTTCAGTGTTTGTTTTACAGTAGAATGATAAGGAATGAAACAATAAATGACTTTTGTGAACTTGAACTTGCTATGATATAGATCTGTGACATTCCCCCGACTTAGTTAAAAAAAATTCATAAGGTTCATAACTTATCTTTAATTCTTCTTTGATGTTTCTTGCCGTGAAGAATTTGCTTCCTCTGTTCTGTATTGTTGTCAAATGCCATGGGAAAATATACCGTAATTTTAAATGACCAGAACTGCTAACAGGCCTAACATTTCTCATAATAATTTTTTAGCAATGCTTATCTGAAAAATGTCAGCCTGTTCTTCAAGTAAACTGCTAAGAATTTCAAGTGTTTTCAATTTAACACAACCAAACACCTAAATCTATAGCTTAGTTATATGGACTTAGATAGCTCATGAACTTTAATGGGATGTATATATATATCAACTTGATTTGAAGCGAATGTTCATCCCCTTTTCTGCAGCAGTAGTCATTAAAACTTCCCAAAATGAAATAAGGAAATTCCCAATTCATGCAATATATATTGTCATGTTATCTGTATTTGGATGCTAAAGAACACCTGATGCCATGATTACTGCTCGGTTATGTTGTCTGAGTTTGTACCCCTGAGTATATTTGTCAGTGAAGTAAACTAATAGGCAGTATGACAGCACTGCACAAAGAGTTGTCAACATGACTCTGTCTCCATGCTGCAAGACACCTGTAGATGTGTGAAGGTTTGAGAGGACCTACATAATATAATAGGTATAGAGTTATGATTCAGGATGGTCATACACTATTGGAATGTGTTCTATTGTTGAATCTTCCTGCACTCATCTCCAAAACACTGTGACAGATTGTATGTTCATGCAAGCCATATACAGTCAGCTAACAGTGTCTTAAAGTTGTTTAACAGAATGACAGTTTAGTACCGTAAATCCTTCACAACTGGGCATTTATTATTTTCAGTGATACGCTCCGTCTCTGTTCATCGCAGATGTCTATTTTCTTGAAATTTTCCTGAGATTGGACATGTAATTTGAATAAAATGTGTGTTGTTTGAATTTTTGTATCATAATGTTTTCATTTCAGTATCACTTTTGTGGTACCAAAAAGAATATCTGTGTTCAGAGGTGAACATTTCAGTCTATTTGGATTAGTATTTTGCAAGTCTGCCAGTCCGGGGTGTATTGAAGGATTTACATACACGGAAAGATTTCCGCCCATAACCCCGTTTTTTAAAATTATTCTATACCTAAGAATATATGTTTTTTATCGAAAGCCTACCCAAACCCTAACCCTGACATAATGCTAAACCCTAACCCCTAGAAATAATCATAATAAATAGCATACATGTCAAGCGGGGGTTACGGTCGGAACTCTTTCCTACATACACTGGCAGTATCATATATATGATAATATCATAAGTAATTTTAGTATGAAAGTTGTTCAATCTCTCTTAATGTTCATGGGTTATTTTGTGACATTCTTGAACAAAACAAGAAGGGAACTAGTGTTTTATTATAGATGGAGTTGAACTGGCTGAATTAAGAATTGCACAGTGAACATGGTAAAAGAGGGGGTTGATATACTTTGCTTTTAGTACTCTGTAGTAAGAAATATTCAGCATGATGAAATAGATATGGTTTGCCATTCCTTTGAGAAACCAGGCATACTGTTTGTAGTACACTGTATCATATTTTCATATGATTTTTGTAAGGAATTGTGTCCAATTCAAAATCTACTTAGTGTCTTGAAACTATCCCAACCAAGAAATGGTGGGATGACATGCCCATCCTGTCCATGTTTGATGATGTAACTGTGACATGATGCTCCCGGTGTAGAAACTGTCAACACCCGATGGTCTGAGTGAACACATTGTCAACATGCTAGAGCAGTCACAGCGGATCATGCATGCAGATATGTTCCCTCCCAGTCTGATGTGTTACCATAGTTACAGGGGCTACAGGTCCCTGCCATGTCTGAAATGCCTGGGGCTGTCACACTGGATGGAATAACGTGAAAAATGAAACGGAAGACAAATAGCAACCTTTTATTAGCATGTTCTGTTTATTGTTGGTTGTTAGGCTGAGAATTTAATCATAACCCACAATATTAACTTGTAATACATAGAAAGGGAATTATTCTGAGTTCATTATTAATATTTTGTGACGGTTATGGTTTGAACATGATATATGCAGGTGCAGAGGCCCAGATAAGCTGCGTATCCGGTAAAATACGCATAGAAAATTTCCAATTACGCATTGAAAAATAACTGTTGTGTACCAATTACACATTTAAAATGTTAGATACACAAAAAGTTTAAAACAAATGCGTACGGAATATATTTATAAAAATCGCTTTCGTAATGAAAAAGACATCGATTGCTATCAAGTTGTACTGTTAGTATAGGACTAGTGTTGTACTGTCAGTATTGGATAAGTGATTTTTTTATGAAATCATTTCCATTATATTTAAGTTGGTTTTGATTAGGTATGATATAAGGCAGGACATACCTGCTTAGTAAACTTACTCAATGACATAATACTTAGGTGAGTAAAACTGAAATACGCACATATTTGAAAGCAGTGGGTAACGGAAAATGAAATACCCACTCAACATTCATAATACCCACTCCAAAAAATTACAGTGGGTACAGTACCCACATGAGCTAAATCTTATCTGGAGCTCTGCAGGTGTAACTGTAAGTGGAATTTAATAGTCAATTATTCAATTGATTGCTAACTTTTAGTTTAGCTTAGCTGCTACGTCCGTAATTTCAGCATATTATTTGATTACCTTTTGCTTT